TTTTAGGCCATTTGACGCTTAATTTTTTGGAGTGTCGTTAATAAAACGAACCAAACGCACGAAATTTGGCTGTAATTCTTCATGATGACGTGTTTTTAAAGAACTTTCAATTTATAAAAGCCGAATTGTTTCCACACCGGAAGTCAGTTCTATCACTAACCAGTTTTACTCGCGACTAGAAGTTGAAGGACTTACAAAAATGTGTTTTTTTGGCCTATCAAAACTTCTATTAATAAACAACAGAACTTGACCCCAGTTAAGGCAGTTAGTTCTTAGTCAAGGATATCTGAGACATTTGACGGTTAAGTTGGCTTGCTTATTTGACTGTCGACGGTTGATATTTTGGCTATTTTACGGTTGACGGTTAACCCCGCTGAGACCCTCTTTCAAATGCTTTGAAGAAAAAAAACTTGAAATGCCGATTTGAGGGTGAATGTATTTTTGAGGTGTTTTGCTTTTGTCTAATGTATAGAGATATATATGTATATTTTTTAATAGCTCAGTTACCAATACGTCTCGACTGCCCGGAAATTGGATCAAAGCGTAAAAGACAAGCCTTTTTAAATCATATTGAAGAAAGATACTTTGCGGTCTATAATCCATCTACCCGTGAAGAATATAACGCGTTTTTTGATTACATGGAAACTACTCGAGAACTGATTATCATCGATGCTGAGGAAGGAAGCTTGATCATCACGGTTGGGTGTAGATCTGTACAAATACTAGAGGGCTTGTGGAATGACTATCGAGAAGGACACCTTGGTGAAATGGTTCAGAAATACCTTGTGACGGATGAGATTCTGAATGAGTTTGGCCTCTCTGAGGTAAAACTTACAACCGACATTTCAGAGGAGGAGTACAGACGTTGTCCGCAAGACTTAGAGTTGTATTCGGGTAAGCTTGTTGTCTCATTTTATAAGAGAAAAAGAGCTCTATCTTAACTTGGCCGATCCTTCTTGTCGATCATTTAGTCTAAGGTCTATAGATTAGCCAAGCAAATAAACATAGTTTTAGTTTCATTTTGGGAGAGTGGCTGAAAACTGGGCCAAAGATTCACCAAGAACCGCTAATTTATTTTGTGGGCCTCGTTTATGCGTTTTATAAGGTACCAAAGAATTCATAAAAAATCTTACCCATACAGAGAGATTACAATCTGTTGGATGAATTTTTGGAACGTTACAGCGGCTTTACGGGCCTAGAGCCACAGTATATTCCACCATCCAAATCTCAGAGAACGGTCATTAATTACTGCGCTGTGACGGGGGGGATTGGTCATATCACGATGAAATTTACCTGATTCTCAATAAGACTTTGTGATGTTCTCATGGTTCCCCCTCTAATTGGCACTCAATTTTCTATATTCCCTCTTCTAATTCCCTCTTCAAGTTAGTTCTTCCACAACCCCGAACTGACTATCTCAAGAAAAGTTTTTTGTACCGCGGAGCTCAATTGTGGAACAACTTACCTGTAGACCTATGACAAGCGCCTTCGCTGACTGATTTCAAATCTAAATTAAATCACCACAGTTTAAAGTAAGATCTTAATTTTAAGTAAATTTTAGACACGGCCTCCATGAAAAGCAGAATTTTTATTTCGGTATTTCTTTTATTTGAACTGTTATTATCAAATTATTATTGTAGTTAGATAGGTTTCTAGTATAGAATTAAATCAACTGATGGAAAAACCGTGTATAGTAAAGTTATCCTATCCTACCCTATCCTTCTGCACTTTTTCAGTAACGACTGATCCCCCTTCGCCTCCACCTTAAGAATTAAGTGAACCCCCACAAACAACCTCGTGCCAACCTTTCCTAAGCATATGTTGGGGGTGGGGCGATGTGACCGGCCGACGTCGGGGCCTTTTCCCGCCCCATCCCCAAGTAAAGGAAAAGGTCTTGGGAACGAGGTTGCCCCGAATAAATATTCTCCACTCCCTTGAGATAAATAATGACTGGTGAAACCTTGAATTAGGAACATGTACATCTGGGTTTTTTTTTTTCCTGTTGATTTCACCTTTTGAAAAGAAACACTATTTCTCCCTCGATTTCGAGCAAACATTCGGCAAAGAAAACGAAGATTTTTTGAACCGAAGCCTTTGGAAGTCGCATCCACAACTTGGGATAGTTTTGGATCATGTTTAAAAAATTCAACATGAACGGGATTTCCTCGCCAAAACAAACTCGTGTTTAAATCTCACCCGAGTGAAATTTGCCATCGTTTCCGAATTGAAATCATACCTTTGGCCTAAATTCTCACTGCATGCAAGGCATCGTCCTCGCTTCCATGACGAGAGGTGGTCAAAATGCTTTTCCCCCTTTATGAAAGGCAACGTTATAAGTATTATTATACTATTATAATTTAAGTCAAAGTGATTTGTCGTTGTCACTGCTTCCAATAATGTTTATTTATTTATATTCTTATTAAACTTGTTAAGTTTCTTCTTTAACAGAACTTGAACAGAAACTTGCAGTTGTCAAAGGTTTTCGAGATGGACTTCAGGAGAACTTCCTCGCCTGGGATCGTATGAGAGAAAGTAATGTAGCTTTGCTGAGAGAATTTTCTACAAAACTGCGTAACTTTCCTCCCAGAAGAGCAGGATTCATGGGGGCTCTTTTCGGAACAGTAGCTGCGGCTTTAACCTCGGGGCCATTATTGGTTGGTGCAGCTGCTGCAGCTGGTGTAGGAGCGGCGGGGGCCGTATTTAATAAATGGAATATGCAAAGGAAGGCAAAAGAAGAAATCATCAAAGAAAGAAAGGTCTTCGACGAACTACAGCCCAATGCAGACTCCCTCAAAAAGCCTTTGGCCGGCCTGGCCGATTTCTGTCAAAAGCATACTGATTCGGTCCTGTCTAGCAGGCATCTTGAAGGTGAATTCCACCTGTTATCTCGCATGCTACAAAAGCAAGAACCAGAGGATCCTAAAAGTACTGAAGGTCGGAAACTGGCAAATTTTATTAAAGACGAAGTGGAGAAACACTATACGAGTATACGTCAACCGCTGGAACTCTTATCTACGTCGCAAAATCATGAAGAAATTTCAGAGAATATATGCAGAATCCTAGAGCAACTAAAAGTTGGCCCTGGAGAACAAGAGATTCGGGCAATGATCTCTAGTTTTATCGAAAAAGAGTTCGCGGATAATTTTTTTTCACGAGATTAATAAGTTTGAGTAAAAGCACTAATTTTTAGCTATGTAGAGGAGAAATTCTGAATGCTGATTTGAAGAGTTTGAAGCAGGCAGTTTTATAACAACATTTTATGCCTGAAATTTACTTCTCCAGCTTTCCTTATTATTGATAAACAATTTTATGACATTGTACCTTGTTCTTGGACACTATACTGAAAACGTTTTGATTGAATACTGTACAGATACTAGTTGGGGACTGGTTATTGTTTATCGCCGGGGAGGGGGAAGGGGTCTTTTTGTTGTGCCACGTTAAAATCGTCCTGATCCTCCCAAAATGGTCATAATGCTCTGTAATGTACTCATGACCCCCCCATTTTCATTTGCAATCATTAATTAGCAGTCAGTTTTCTACAGTCCTCCCCCCTCTCTATGTTCTGTTGTTGACGACTCGTCCCCCCTCTCCCCCGGCGACAAATGATATAGTGTTATCCGCCTGTTCTTTCGACTCTTTTTTTTCCGTGAAGTTATTCTTTGGTTTTTTTAGAGCATCTTAGCTCATGCTCATGAACAACTTTGTTGTCGATGAAAACGTAGATAAATAAATGAATAGATAAATTCGGTGAACGACACAAGTCTAAATAATTAGGTAATTTACTAAGCGACCATTCATCATCTATCGCCAGGGGAAGGGTCGGAGGATTTTGGATTTTTAGTTTTCGAGGGCAAAGGAGTGGAGATCAATTCGCTAACAGAGTATAAAGGGGAGACTGCCAATGAGGGGATAGTCATTACAATACTACAGAGCCCTCGCGGGGGTCAGGTAAATTTTATTGCGACACGACCAGTCTTCCACCTTTCCCCCAACCACCCTCCCCCTTAGTTGGAATTAATGACCGGCCCCCAAGGGGCTGACCATTATCTCTCTGGAGGGGGGTATGAGAAATTTTCTTTTGCAAACATATTTTTAAACATATACGTCTCTGCAAACAACTTTAGAGTGTAATGAATTTTCATTAGCTTCCCTTGGGATAGTAGAACCCAGTTTGGGATAGTAGAACCCTGCTGATAGTAGAACCCAGGCTCGGCTATTATATAACAATATTTGTCAATTCAAAGATCTTCAAACATATCTATTACAACATTGGAACTTTGTATTTTTTAAAAAGATGCAATTTAGAGTGTAAAATAGTGTGATTTGTGAATAAATTGCACCAGTGAGAGCCAATCAGATTGCAGGATCACAAGTTGTTTCAAAATGGCCCAAATTACACTCCAATCAATTCAATTATCATTGTAAATGAGCCCGTTTATTGAAGTGACTTCAGCTTATCTATATTTCAAAACACAGGGGCATCACTGAAAAAAGAAGTAGTAAAAAGGCCTAATAAATTTAGAATTCTGACATCCCTTGGCACTAGTTTTTCAAAGGGTTTTAGAAATCTCTCAGTTGCTTATCAATCATTTCTGAACATCTGAAATTTACTTTGGTTAATAAACCCTTGTAGCTTAAAATTATTTTGCACACCCCCCCTGTGATAAGATAAAAACCTAGAAATTGAAGGCTTCTTTAGAAGAAAGAAATAGTAACAGCATTTTTTCTGAGAATGATATTTCCTCTCTTAGTGGTTCTCAATCCTTTACTCTGTAAAGGCTTATTTCCAGCTCTGTGACTACACAAAGAAAAAGACAACTCAGTATTGTACTACTGTCTACCATACAATTCTTATAATCTTAGTCAGGAGAATTTGGTATTTGATCATAAAAGAATCCTTTAATTGATATTTTTCTTTATTCTCATCACTTGTCTACTAAATCTTGTACTTTTATTGTAAGGAGAAATTCTGTCTTGGTCACTTACGGGAGTTAACCTTGTTTTTAAATGCTGTCATCAAGAACACTGCCTCTATGTCTCCCAAACTCCTTAAAACATAATTATGTGATCCTGGAATTATAACCAGGATTTTGTGTCAGGGCGACCAGTTATTGTTGGTTTGAGAAATTTGGTTCAAATAATTCAATTTTTCCTCAATATTATGTGTGTCTTTAGATTTCTCTTGCAAAGAATCTTTGCACTTTTAAAGGACAAGTCGTTTGAAAAGCATAATAAATGTATTCCATGGTAAAATGGCAGCTTCCCCAGACTCTTAGGAAGTTCTTGGTTCGACTAAAGGGAAGGAAAACTTTGTACGTCTGTCACCGCTTTTAGTAAGCGGAGGTGCTGCAACATTAAGAGAGGTTTTTAATATATTTTGTCCTCCGGATAAACTTGCCTTCAGGTAATATTTCAAAAACTCGTGCTTCGTGTTTCATCGGGGTTTCCAAACACGAGAAAACTGATGAAAGCACGAGGCCTACGGCCTCGTGCTTTTATTGTTTTCGAGTGTTTGAAAACCCCGATGAAACACGAAGCACGAGTTTTTGAAATTGCTTCTCAATCGTGCATCATTAGCCGAGAACAATGAAAAAATTCTGACTGATTTTGGCATCGTACGCGGAATTGGGGTTTAACATTATTTCAAGCTCTAGGGTTTGATATTTCATCAAAGTATAGTGGAAAAGCCTCTGTCCAGTGTTTCATCGGGGTTTCTAAACGCACACATGTGGCCAAATTGGCGTATCGTGATTGGTTTGTAACTTGATGAATTACTAATGAGTTTGAGAATACTGGGCGAAGAACATACGGAGGGGATAGTACTAAGACCACAAAGGTTCGAAACAATTCGATGGTACTGCTTGTACCCTCGCTCAGGTGGATACGGCAAATAGAAAGACCAATCTCAGTTTTCTCCTCGACTTGTTGAGGAAAGAAGAATTTTGCAACCTCACCTTTCCTGTCAAAGGCTATAAACTACCCAAATAAAGACGACCTCAGCTTGGAAGCAGATCTTGCTAGAATTAACTATTACTACCATTCAGTTTATAATATAGAACGTGAGAGTTACCATGGAAATAACAGATGACGAGTTTCCTTCACTAGGGAAAGAAATAAGTGGTGCTCTTCCTCGATTAGTGGGGCAACACCTCGGGCTTGAGAATCAACGCACCTGGAAGGAAGCCATAGATAACCTGTTAAAGGATTCGCTTACAGTGGGAAAAGTTCCTCCTCAAGGTGGGTGAAAAGTGATGGGACATGTCTGATGGTTATGTAAGGGAAAGGTCTTATCAAGAACAAAATTTATCATGTGACCCGTTTAGTCCTTCTCGCGCAATTCCATTAAAAAGACCATAGTGAAAGCTAACGTTTGCAGGGTCAGACGGGTTGCCGTGAACCAGTCGCGTAAAAGCCGTCCGGCCCTGGGGTCCGTTCCTCGAAAGTCCCAGTTATTTAACGGCCCGAAGCCATGTTTTAAAATAAGAATGCAAAGGATAGAAAAGCAGGTTTTGGCACCAAAATCAGTCCATTAGTTTCTTTAGGTGATAGCTTTGCTGTATTATTTTCAAAACTTTTGAAATCCCCATCTTAAATGAAATCAGAACAGCCTTATGGGCCTGCAAAGTTACTGAGACTTTCGAGAAACGGGCCCAAGCTGCCCTCACGTCGCTTTGTTGTTGCAAAAACTTAAAGGAAAACAGAAATGAGGAAAAAAAGTTGCGTTTTTAAGGAAGTGGTAGTTTCTTGTTCTGACTCGAAAAAATGAAGGAAAAGTATTAATTGCTAATTTTTTTTGTGCTCGTGTGGCCGAGTGTGCCTATCTATCGCGACCTGTAAACGATATTATGAACATCTCCTCAGTGTCCGTCGCGGCTTTTAAAAACAAACTTAAAACTTTCCTTTTTAAAACAGCATTTTCATTCTGTGAAGTGTACCTAGCTTAACTAAGTATTTGGTTACGATGAATATATACTTTAATCTATCTAAACATGATCTAAAATTTAAAAGTGAAATAGAAAAAATAAAGAAATTCTGCTTTACGCAGATGCTGTGTGCGTTTTGTCGATTCAGACGAAGAAATCGCGACAACCATTTCGAAAAGATTGAAGTGATTTTGCTTGCCGCAATTCAGGGGACAAGCTGTTCCAGGTAACCGCACCGTTATAGTAAAAGCTATTTTTCAGGAAATTGGTGCGGGGCAATGGAACAGCTAGTTTGTTTTCAGAGTTCCTTAGATTATAAGGAGGATCATATTTAGTGAAAAGAGAACCAAGATAGTCGGGCGCAAGACCATGTATAGATTTATAGACCATGGTGGCCACTTGTATTTGTCGCTGAGTATCTAACCGTCTCCAGTTAAGTTGC